TGTGGCAACAGATTCATGGGTGATATTGTTGGCAGACAGGGGCAATTCTTCACGGACGATCAACTGCGGGTGAGGTATCCAGATTGTGGGATTGATTGTGCGGTATCTGCGTGTGGTTAGTGCAGTCTTTGCAGGGTGGAAGCTGTCGATGGAAGGCGCGAATTAACTAGTGTCTTCAGTAGTGGAGAGGCACAATTGTCCTTTAAAAGGAATGTTTCACAATTGAAGGTGTTGGAACAAGCACCAGATATGAAGAAACAAGCTCGCTTATAATTATTGGTATACTTTTAAGTAGACAAGACTATTCTAGACAACACAATTATCTGTTGAGTAAATATGCCCCTCGATATGGCACTGTTTTATTACGTCATGGTACCTTGCACAGCATGGTGAGAGCCAATTTGCGGCCATTGTATCAGGAACTCGTGCTCGTGAACTCCAGGTATGAACGACTCGACCATTGTATTTGTCTCGGCCCTGGTCGCCGCATGGCTTATGGAGTGGCAGGATTTTAATGACTTATGACATCATGAATGTCAAGGTGATGTGGAAGCCCTCTTCCCGAAATACTCCCCCCAGTTTTGCGGGCGTGTAGCTCAGAAACTAGAGAAGTCTAGCTCTTAAGAAGGGCAGGGTTCTGAACTGCACCACAAGGTCTTCGAGATGGCTATGTTAGAACAAAACCACATAAAAGTGTGGCAAATTTCCTTTATAGAAGGGCCTCGATAGACGTCATTCGCTACTTGTCAGTCTTTGGAATCAACAGTACACAAACCAAGCGTTCTACAGATGGAAAGCAGAGGGATCATCACCGGAGATGTAAGCCTTGAAATAGTCTACCGTCATTGACATCCACCCTTATGGAGTCACTTCATGTTCAGATCATTCATAGGCACATACCCACCAAACGATGCTTGCTCGTAAGACACGGCATAGGATCACCGTCATGCACGTACACACCCTATGGGGTAAAGTGGTTAAGTGTGCATTACGTTACCTAGTGCTTTATGATTTCGACTGCGAGCCCGTGCGTGCCGTTTGGCGCATGACATCCGCCTGCGTAAACGGGATAAATTAGACCTGCCCGAATAAGGCTCGACGCGAGCGCAGTTGTATGTGGTGAACCGAACTTCCCATACCTTGTATATATTTTGCGATATTGCTGGCAAAGGTATATGTACATCTATATATATATATATATATATATATATATATATATATATATATATATATGCAACGGAGGAAAGGGCGAGGTTTTCCGTTTCCAATGGAAAGCTTTCGGGCACATTTGGAACAATTTTTCAGGCCGAACCAGTGACAGCGTATAGAAGCAAACTGAATGGGTAGCGGCTCAAAGAAAAATGGCCGATGTTTTGTGGTGGTGAATTGGTTACATTCTGAGCAGAACCCAACCGTGGCAAGGGTTGCCACTCAGCCGTGGTTGCGTGCAAATACGTCAGGTTGTTCTACCGACATGCGTGCTGCTCGTATGAAGGTGTGTGTGTTCAGCGGAATTAATTTTAAAAAAGCACGCGGCTGACCGCTGATGCGACCCTGGAGCCGGCTGCCCAGTCATTGGTCGGGCTCGTGTCGGGTGGCTGCGCTGGCCCGCGCCGCCGCTGGCCGCTGTCGAGCACGCCGCATCCTGCCGTGCTGTGCTGCGCGGCATCAGCATAGTTCAGTGTGTGTTTATATGTGTGCGTGAGTGCGCAAAACGCTGTGTTTTGAGTGACGATGAAGCGGGAAAATATCTGTGTTTCAGTCCGCTGGCGGCGGTCGGGACCGACTCCCAGTGCCGGCTCATCTGATGGGACGCTCGTGCCAGCCGCTCGCCCGGACGAGCGTGTGTTCGTGACCGGTCCGGTACCCAGGCCGGCCGCCCTCTCCTGCCGCTCGTCCGGACGTCCGTCTTTACCAGCTGCTTTGAGTGCGAGGCTGGGTTGATCTGCTGTCTTATCTGCCTTTGGAGGATTTGCAAAGCCTTTCCTGTGCGGAACATGTCTTTCTGTATGCTTCCGC